GAGTCATCGATCGTCTCCCTTCCTGGCCCCGCACCCTGCCCCGCCCCTCAGGTCACCTTCAGAAGGCGGCGTTTTCCCTAAATCGAGGGAATTGAAATTCAAAATACAAGGGAATTGTCTAATTTCACTAGCCCAAATTAGGTGGCGAGGTTTTCAACCTTAAACTCCAGAGCTTGTTGAAGTATTATCAACAAATCACTTAGCAAAGGAGATCACGTGCTGGTAGGTAGAAGTATGAACTCCTAGGAGGCATCTCAAGCAGATCTAGGTAACACTGCAGGTTGTTCGTGACCTTAGTAAGTTAATTCACCTTTCTATGCCTCAGTTTCCTGCGCTGAAAAACAGGGCTAGTAACAGTACCTACAGCAGGTGGAGGTTACATGAGAAAAGCTAGGAGAGGCCAATGTAAGAGTGCATTACAATGACCTTATCTATTATTAAACTGCAGGTTTCTGGGGTCTGCCCTCAGACATTGTGATTCAGTAGATTTAAGTAGCCCGGAGGATCTACATTTGTCTATTTGGCCCTAGGTGACAAAGGATGGCTGGGGCCTCATACTTGAGAAACTACAGTAAACTCTCTTAAGTCACTGTCATAATTAGTATGCTGTTCCTCTTTTCATAAGACTCTGCCCTCTCTCTGGAACAAAGGATTTTATCAACCTTAAACCAGGTACCTAAGGCCCAGCAGCAAGGGAACTTTTCACTCTAGCTTCAGAGGTTCCAAGCTCCCTTTTGAGTGCCAACCACATACAATAGAAGTTGTCAGTTCTAGAAGCCAGGACTGTCTTTTGCTCTTCTCTGTGTCATCTGCACTTAGCAAAGTGTCTACCAAACCAAGGGCTCAATGCATAATGTTTCTTAGACAAAAAATGAAGAGAAAGACCTATAAGGTTTGTGAGCCATGCTATGAAAATTAAAGGTTTAAAAAATGATGAAGAGTTATGTCTGGGTGAAATGTAGAAGCCCTGTGAAAATAATAACCAAAGAAGGTTTTTGGGTCCAGCAATTGGCGTAAAGGCTACGTCGCTGGACTCCCATGTAGTCAACCACTGTTTGAGTCCGGGATCGGATGACTTAAACTCACGCGGGGGCACATGTGTGTGCTTGCCCAAGATCAGGAGAGGAGAATGGAGGAAGGGATTGTGGCGTGCCATCCTCCCTGGGGCGGGGATTTCTCACTTTCTGTCTTTCTGTCTCTGTCTTTCTGGTGAGCACACCTGCCGTATAGCAAAAACCTATCCAGAAAGAAAAAAAGTTTGTTTTTTCTTTTTAGATAGGTTTTTTCCATTTGGGTGTCTGCACTCCCAGAGATTCAGAGAGAGAAAAAGAGAAATCACTCCTGGGGGGATGACCACTAAGCAATCCCTCCATTCTCTTTCTAGGATATTGGGCATGCACATACAGTGCGGCTGCTGTCTGGACTCAAACCGCTGTCGGCCATGTGGGAGTCAAAAGCCTTAAGCATCACACCCGCTGGCCTCAACCAAGAAAGATTTTCATTGAAACCTGTTAACATGTTCTTTAACCTTCAAAAAAATATGCTCCTCATTTTCTGGGCTTTGAGAAGTCAATGCAATTATTTAAGTAGGAAAAGAAGTTACTAGACAATGAATGGAATATATGAACAGGTTTGCAATGTTTAGATTTCCTCATAATGAAATTATAGTGCTAGAAAATACCAGAGGATCTTGAAATCCTTTGCTTTCTACGTGGCTATGAGATTAGTGGAAAGAAACAAGTTTGCCTTAAGGTAAACACCTCTATCCAATCACTATGTTCCTTACTCTGCTTTATTCTTCTTTCTAGTACTCTTTTTTTTAAGAGACTTTTGCCTTAGGATACAAGCACTTCCTGGAGAGATGGAGACAGTGAGAGGAAAGTGAGAAATCACACCCCCCCCAGGGGAGATGGCCACGCCCACAATCCCTTCTCTATTCTCCTCCAAGGATCTTAGGTATGCATGCACATGTGATTTCCTTTCGAGCCACCAGGTCTGGGGCCTAAACCTTGGTTGGCTATGTGGAAGTCCAGCAACATAATCACTACACTATAAGCTGGCCCCAATATACCTATTTTTTTGTTTTCTACCTTTCTCTAGTAGAATATAAATCCCACGAGGATAGAGATTTTACTTTATTCATTTTCCTGTAATTTCTCATTCATAAAGAATTGGGGCAGTCATGTTGCTTGTACTTCTTTTAAATGTGTGGTTTCTATGATCTCCCTAAAACATTGTGTAATGTTTTACCATTGTCACTTCCATGCCTAAAATCTTCCAGCAATCCCCATCAATTATAGGAACAATTTCAAAACCCTTGGCATAACATGCAAACCTATTATTGGGCCACTGCTCACCTTCCATCTCCAGCTTTCCCTCCACTTTGTTAGATTCTAGCTGGTCTGCCAGTCTTATAGCTACGTTAATCTGCATATAAAACCAAGATGCCTAACTTTCCCATGTCTTGGAAGGTCCCTTGTGTTTAGAACATCAATACCCATTACCAAGAATGATGAATAAGAGTCAACGAAAGTCACACCTTTTTTATGAAATCCTTTCCTTGGCCACTCTCCCACTGTACACATTCCCCAGGGAGAATGAACTATTCCTGCCTCTAGGCTATAGATCTTTTAAAATGAGTATCTCATTGACTTATTAGTGTTTGTTTATGAGTATGCTGGGACAGAGTTGAGAGGTAACCTGAAGGGAATCACGTCCATCTATAATCTTGATCAGTTTCTCTCAATATATCTAAAGTGTTAAGAGATTAGAGTCAGAACAAATTTCCCAGTCAGCAAGGGGCATGGAGGTTAAGGCAGCTGGATTCCACGTGGCTGACAGTGTTTCAGGTCCTGGATTCACAGCCTGAAAGACAGTGAGAACATGTGCACGTGTGCCCCCAAGTCCCAAGAGAAGAGTGGAAAAGGGATTGCTGTGTGCCCATCTCCTGGGGGAAATGATTTCTCCCTCTCCCCTCTCTCTCTCTGAAGCACACACGCCCTATAGCAAACTAAAGAAAAAACAAACAAATCTCCCTTCCCACCCAGGCCCCTCACCCCATACCCTTCTAACCTGGCTGCTATCCCCAAGTTTCTCTTTTATAGAAGCTTTGAAGCCACTACCATGGATCTTCTCCCACTGGGCAATAAATTTGTAGACCCTGGTATTCAATATCGTTAGAATTTGTTCTTATATTAATTTATCTGTCTTTTTATCCATTCATTAATATGCAATCTCTATCTTTTTTGCTCTCCAAATCCTGCATCTCTTCCTTCCCAGAACATCTTCCCTTTCAAGATGAAGAGCCCTGTACCCTTAAGCCAATATTCTTTTCTATTAATAATTCCATTTCTGTCTTTAACCACACAGAACTCAGAAAACCCTATAATCTTACCTCCGTCAATGACTACTTTCTCCTACTTGTTTTCAGAGGCCCTGATGATTCTCCTTACACAATAATTCTTAGCTGTACTTACCCAATAAGTGTCTAGAATCACAATTTATTGCCTAAATATATTATTGCAGGATTACAATGTTTTCTTAAAAATTTCTCTTTCTTGAGTGCTAGGAGCCTTATATGCATTATCTCATTTATTTTCACAATGTTCTAAAATGAAGAAGTTCCAGAATTTGCAAATAAGCAATATAAGCTTCAACCAGTCGTTTTTAACTCCAAAGTAATCTACTTAAATTACCATCATTCATCAACATTTAATGAGTTTACTCCATACAAGGCACTTGTTTTTTGGGATTTTTTTTTTTTTTGGTTTGATTTTAGTTTTTTGCAACCGGGTATGTGCACTTATTAGAGTGAGACAGAGAGAGAAAATAAGAAATCGCTGCTCCTGGGGATGGGGGAATGGCCATGCAGCAATCCCTTCTCCTCCATTCTCTTGAGATTTTGGCCATGCACACAGATGTGTCTGGTATATTTTTTTCAAGCCTCCAAATCTAAGATTCAAACTGCAAAGCTGGCCATGTGGGATCTAGCCACCTTAACCTCCACACCACCAGCTGGCCTGGCACTTGTTTTTAATGTGATTTTTAATTGTTTTTATTATGGTTTTCATGGTAGATTTATTCGCAAATCTTGTAAGAAAATTTTAATGTAAAGTTCAATGGGAGTTCACTATT